GAGGTCCCAGAGCCCCGGGGAAGGGGCGCCATGGAGTAGCGGGAGATGGGCGCCGCTGCGGGCAGCCCAGTGGCCAGGCCAGGAACCGCGGCCTGGGAAAAGATGCAGAAGTTAGGCCTGGCACATCCCGGGCCAGACCTGTCCCCTGCGCCCCTGGAAGGAGGCCCCTGCATTCATTTTTCGTGGCTCACTGGGCAGGTTTCCTTTACGCTCATGCTAACGTCCTACCTCCGACGCCCAGGGGCCTAAGAGGCGCTGCAGGGAGGATGGGAGAGGCCAGCTGTGGCCCCTAGGCAGGACAAAGCGCAAAAACTGGGGCTCATAGTCCGCCTCTAGGACGGAGTAGACCTGCCTTTGTAGCTTTCCAAGACTGTGCCTCTTTGTGGGAACAGAAAACCTCCCCTTTCTTTCATGGAGCGCCTGATAAGGGTTTGGAAGGACCCATGATGTCACCAGGGCAGGGTCAAGGAGGGGCTTAAGCAGAGGCCCGCAGGCCCATTGGGGAGAACCAACCGAGTGAGTGCAGAGGGAGCAAGGGTGGGGTTGGATCTGAACCCTCGACTCTTACCTGTGTCCTGGGGGCCTGTGGCTGGGCCAGGGTAGCGCTTCCTCCCGAAGAGAAGTGTCCGGAGCCTGGGGGACATTGAACAGCCCCTGCTGGGTGCCTGGCAGCGCCCTGCACACCTGGCTTGGCAGGGTGAAAGGGATGTCCTAGTCACTTAGAAGGCAATAATACTCTGACAAAGAAGTAAGCCAGTGATGCACCCCTTCATCCTCCATAACCCCCAGCCCACACCCTGGGCTGCGTGCATCCCCCCTTGCTTTGTGTTCACAGAGCACTGGAGGCTGGCTGCCTCCTTTAAGGTAAGGTCGGACAAGCACCGGTACCAGCACAGGTCTGACCGACTGCTACCCTCTTGCCCCACCGTGCAGGCACGCACCCGCCAGCCACCAGGCCCTTGGCCGACCTCAGCTTCTGGGTGGCTCTGTTGCCGCAGCTCCCGGGCAGGGACTGATTCCATGGCCACCCAGAGGGCAGGCCTCAGGGCCTGGGGCGCTGGTCTCCAGGGAATGGGGCTCTGTGTATTCAAGCGGGTGGGGGGCAGTGTCTGCTTGCTGGACTGGTGCCAACTTCCTGCCTTCCAGATTCTCGGTGCCACCATCCAGAACTCCAAGGTCGTGCTGCAGATCGACAACGCCCGCCTGGCGGCCGATGACTTCCGCACCAAGTGAGTGTGTGCTGGGGCCGCTGCGGGCCAGGGTGGCAGGGGGGCCCACTTCAGCTCCCTGTGGGGCTTGGTGCCTGGGCACCCTGAGCCCTACTTTACTTTCCCCATGGACAGGGTGACCAGATTTAAAGCGGGACACCATTGACTGGGTGGTGGTGGTGATGTTCTTGATGAAAAATTTGGTCTATATGGACCAAATAGACCGTTCCCTAGCTTGTCGTGCATTCTTTCAAAAAATCGGGACTTTTTTAAAACGCCAAAGATTGGGACTGCCCCGCCAAAAGCGGGACGTCTGGTCACCATACCCATGGATTCCTGAGCTCTGGGCTGCGGGGCGGTAGGGAGGCGCTGGGAGGCACAGCAGGACCCCTGGCCCGACTGCAGTGGTTTCTTCGCAAAGGTTCGAGACGGAGCAGGCCCTGCGCGTGAGCGTGGAGGCGGACATCAACGGGCTGCGCCGGGTGCTGGACGAGCTGACGCTGGCCCGCGCCGACCTGGAGATGCAGATCGAAGGGCTGAAGGAGGAGCTGGCCTTCCTGAAGAAGAACCACGAGGAGGTGAGCTTCAAGCTGGGCCTTTGCATCTTGCTTCAGCCCCAGGACATTTCTCTACCCTGGATACCTGACCCTGGTCACATCCGTTGCACCCTCAGTGGCCCTGTTTATCCAACCAGGCTGGCTCCTGAGTGGTGAGGTGACCTGGCCCAGGCCCAGTGGGCTCTGGGTCCTGAC